TTTTATGATGTATGTGCCCAAAAGTGATTCTTTAGTTATGTCATCCTGGCATTTATTTGTTAATATTATTTTATGGTTGGCGTATATAATCCAATTTACAGGGCCGATAGACTGGATTTTGACATCCTCAAGATCAACGAGCCGAGGTTCGCATAGTGTGAGATTGTTTTGGAATTTCATCAGTTGTTCAGCACATGTGTTTCTAGGATAGGATACCATGTTGGAGCTCATACACAGGAATTCATCCGCCGCTATTTCGGTGCACGGCCGGGAGACCGGTAAGTATTGTGAACCTTTCACCAAAATGTAGGGATACTTGGGAATTATTACAGACGTTCTGTTTCTAAGTGCATCGAAAACAGGTAATGGGTATAATTTGTAATAATTATAATTAAAACTATCAGTAAGTGGAACTTCCATCAAGTACGTAATCTGGTTTGCTTTCATGTAAGCTTTTATAACAATAGTTCTTTCAATCTTTATTAAATTTTCTACATTTACAGGGTACACTAGGTTATCGACTTTGGCTATATCATTAAGTATCACTAACAGTTCAGATGAATTAATAATTGATTGGTGTAATACTGAAACTTTACTTAAAGCTAGAGCAGTTTCTATTTCACTAAGTTTAAGGTAAATACTACGAAAGTTACTAATAAACATATTATACATGCCTAAAATATATGTGTTATAAATTGAATTATTTTCTTTGGTAGCTATGTATTTTACTATTCGTTCAATTCTTTTTAAGCGTTCATCTAATATTAGTTCATTTTCATGTAAAGTTTCTGTACTATTTGCCAAGCTATTCAGCATTTTAGAAACAACGGTGATTTTACTATCAACACTTAATTGGTTGTTCTTTAATTTAGATATAACGGAATCGTATCTAAGAGCATCTTCGTGATCTAAATTGCCGGTGATTGCTTTAATGATTGATCCTAGGGGATCTATGAGACCTCTTTTAAATCTATTGGATGGTACAAGTTGCTTGAATTTTTCAATAGTTATATCGCAAGAATAATCAGCTTGCGTTTTCATGGCTTGGAATTCATAAGCATAAGGTTTATTTATATCAACTAACCTACTAAAATCTTTGAACTTAATAATATTTAAATCTAAATTTTCCTTTATTCCTAATAAGCTAACTTCTTTCACTATAAGCCACCTGCTTGTTTGTTTAAAAGCTTGGCCTTCTTTTACAGGAAGCAGGCCCGGGTTGCTGTCAATTTTTTGAAGTTGAAGACTGCGGGTCCCAAGTATATGAGCCATAGTCAGGATGACCACGCACCACCTGTGGAGGTCGTTTGAAATTTTTAATAGGTACCTTTGTATCCCGTTCACCTATTTTAACGGGAACGATATTACGTTCTGCAGGACCTTGGATAACAGCTTTCCTGTACCTAGGTTTGTCCTTGCTTTTCCTAATATTGATGTCCTTTACGTACGCTATTTGCCCTTCGTTGAGTACTACCTTTGTTTCTCCTCCTTTCCGTTCCCTAGCCTTTTCCTTTTGTTCAATCATTCGATCGGAAATGTACTTATATAAATATTTAGTGCGTTTTTGATGGTCTTTTAACAGCTGTTGGGTATAGGCCCTATCGAAATCGTTATCAAAAACCTTTCCAGAATCAGTGTGCCCAAAGCAGACTTCAAACGGAGTTAAACTAGTAGTTGAATGTATTGTGTGGTTATAAGCCATTATAGCGTAAGTCATAATAGAAGCTGCATCTGTAAATTTCTGCTCGTACTTAGCAATACGATATATTTCAATTATTGTCGAATGAAAACGTTCTATAATACCTGTGGAATTAGGATTATTGGGTGTTGTGATGTGAAGGTCTATTTTATACATATTTGTAAGCTCTCGCATTAGCTCATTGTTAAACTCTTTTCCAGGGTCGCAAGTTATCTTTTTAGGTACGCCATAGAATGAAAAGTACTTTATAAGGGCTCGAACTACCTCAGGTGTGGATCTATTTGAGATTTCAAATGCTTGACCTAATTTACTAAAAGCATCGATTAAGGTAAGAAAATATTTATTTTCTATAGAAAAAAAGATCGATGAAAACTTCCTGAAAAGGAGAATTCTGGGTTTGTGTTAATTGCAAGACCGGTCTAATTGGTTTTCTATCATATTTTGAAATTTTGCAGGTATGGCAATTATTAATTACAGCCGAAACTGTTTCCTGCATATTATCCCAAAAGTAGTTCCTACGTATGCTTACCATGGTTTCCTTTATACCGCGGTGACATGTTTTACCCTCGTGATGTTTTAGAATTATTTCCCTCTGTTCGGCCTCGTCTTCTACGTATATGACACGTTCTGTACACTCGAAGAATTCTACAGTGCCCTTTTTAAATAGTTCTATGATAATTTTGGAAAATTGTTTTCTATGTGATTCGTCCTCAAAGTAAATGAAGTATTTAATCTTTGGTTTTACATATTCTTTTAAAAATTGTTTAATTAAGATTTCGTTATTGATAGGTAAGAACACTTCTAAAATTTTGTGCTTTTTGTTTGAAATATCTTTGACCTGCATTTCATTCCTAAACCAAGTGAATATAAGTATTTGATTAGGTTTAGTATCTACAGCTTCCCTTAATATAGGTATACCTGTTGATTCTAATTCTAACGCTGAGTGTACTGTTTCTGTGCTAATAGATGGTACGGGATAAGTTTGTTCGGTTATATCTATTGGATCAGATGCTGAAAGGGTAGCTGATAGGTCAGACACAGTTATTGTATCGGAGTTCTCATTTGGTTTGTTAAGTTTCGCTATGCGGTAAATTTCGTCGGTCAAGCTGTCTACATAGTTTTTAAGGTTTTTGTCTGTATCGGATACATTCACTTGCATCGAATCAGTGTCATCGTCGGAATCTAATGCGTTTAGTTTGATACGAGATAGGGCGTCAGCGTTAGTGTTCTGCTTTCCATTTTTGTAGATTACCTCAAAATCAAATTCTTGTAAACGTAGTCGCCATCTTGTTAATTTACTATTTGGTTCTTTGAGTGCATAAAGCCAGGCAAGAGGTCGGTGGTCAGTATATACGTAAAATTTTTGTCCGTACAGATAAGGTCGGAAATATTTAACTGCCCATATAATGGCTAGAAGTTCACGTTCGATTGTGCTATACTTTGTTTCAGTGTCACTTAGGGTGCGACTGGCGTATGCGACTGGTTTTTCAGAACCAATTGCCCCCTGTGACAACACGGCGCCTAATGCGACAGAGGACGCATCTGTTGTAAGTATGTAGGGTTTAGATGGGTCTGGGTATTGTAAAAGAGGTGCATTAACAAGTAATTCTTTGCATTTCTCAAATGCTTCCATATATGATTTGTCGATAATAATTTTATTTCTTTTCTTCAAGCAGGAAGTAAGGGGTTGCGTTATTTTCGCGAAGTCCCTAATGAAACGACGGTAATAGCCTATGAGTCCCAAAAAACTTTTTATTTCAGTGGTAGTTTTCGGAAGTGGGTAATTAATTATTGCCTTTACTTTGTCGTCGTTCGGTTTAAGTCCATCTTTGGTGATGCTATGACCTAGATAGAGGACTTCTTTCCGCAAGAACTCAGATTTATCAAGTTGCACCTTGAGGTTAGTCTGTCGTAGTCTGTCAAAAATCATGCGTAACTTTTCAATGTGTTCTTGGAGACTTTGAGATGCCACAATTATGTCATCTAAGTAGACTAGACAGTGGATTCCTTGCAGGCCTCTTAGAATGTTATCCATTGCGCGTTGGAAGGTTGCCGGCGCTGTCTTTAATCCGAACGGCATTCTTAAGAACTCGTAATGGCCAAATTCGGTGCTAAACGCAGTTTTTTGTCGGTCACTTTCGTTGACTTCAATCTGATGATAACCGCTTGCAAGATCTAAGGTCGAGAAGTATGTACATTTGCCTAATTTATCAAATATGTCGTTAATATTTGGTAGAGGATATTTGTCTCCTATAGTCACTTCGTTAAGTCGTCTGTAGTCGATCACCATACGAAATTTACGTTCCCCAGACGCGTCAACCCTTTTTTGGTACTAAATGAACTGGGGCACTCCAAGGAGAGAAAGATTCTTGAATGACATTGTCTTCCAAGAGTTTCTCTACTTGCCTCTTTATTTCCTGAGCTTGAGCGGGTGGTTGTCTGTACGCTTTAGTATAAATTGGGTCTTCATTAACGGTACGGATAAAATGTTTCACTTGATTGGTGAACGTCAAGGGCAATTTGTCACAGTAAAAGATGTCTTTGTATTCCGTACAGAGCGCAAAAATAGTTTTACGCTCTTCCTCATTCATGTGTTCTAGTCTTAATTTACCTAAATTTTGTAATAGGAGTTGGTCAATGTCGGTATCAGTTTTATCTACAAGGGAATTAACTAGGGTTTTCTCACTGTCATTAAAAGTCTCAGTTTGGAAAGGTCGTGTCACGGTCAGGGTCATTTCTTGTTCGAGAGTATTTTGGATAACTGTTGAAGCATATCCGTTATTGCACGTCACAATAGCACTTGGCATTCTAACACCTTCACAAAACTGCTTATAATTTAATATGGCTTCGCCTGAATGTACATCGGTTGGTAGTTTAACACGTAATTCCGATCTAGGAGGTAAAATAAAAATGTGATTTTCAAAATTATGTATAATAGGGATATTTGTAAATTTTGTCGAAAGTATATGACGCTTTAAATCGATGACAGCCTCTAATTGTTTTAATAAGTCATTACCTATGAGGCCATCGTAACGCGAATCTACATTATATATATAGAACTTATGATATTCGGGGCTTTTAAATGTGGGTGGTAACGGAATAACTATGACCTGATTATGGCTACTTGTAGCATGTGTACTAATAACCTCGAAGGGTTCATTAAAAATTTCGTTTTTAAAATATTGATATGCTTTGCGTGGGCTTATAAATGAACGTGTGCTACCGGTGTCCAGCATGAATTTAGAATCTAACTCGGGGATATATATATAAGGTAATTTCAAATTAGAGTCACAATTTAGTTCTATGGTTTCGGGGGTTTGGTTGAGGCGTATATGTGAAAATTTTCAATATTTTCCGTCGTCTTGATGTCATTTGTATCTGCCGCGTTGGTCTCAGTTTCCGCGCTTACAGTTTCTTCGGATTGCCATTCGGGGTAACAGTAAGAAGCGTCATTAGGATATTGATCGAAATAGTGTGGGTTTTCGTAGTAATACATATCGTCGTTATAATCATTCTCGTTTAATTCTAATTCATTTACCCTAAAACCTTGCTGCGGTCGTGCTACAGGTGCTGTGCGCATCGACACATCTGTGTTAATTCGCGGTTGGTTATGCTGTGGGGCATTACTATTATTATTGTATCGCTGTTGCATACCGAACTGTTGAGGACGCATCGAAGGCAAAGGCTGAAGGCCTACAGGTCTATAGCCAAATTGAGGTGGACGATATCCGAATTGCATTTGGTTGTTATTAGGTTGTGGTGGTCGATAATAATTTCCGAAATTGTTAAATTGTCGCTGCTGACCTTGAGTGGGAAGCGGCATCTGCACCTGCTTGTTCGGTGGGATACCAAAATTATATCTAGGTGGTTGGTTCATTTGCATGGGCTTAAAACTAGAAAAATGTTGAGGTTGAGTGTTATTATTACCGAATTTAAATGATGACGATGCGTTATGCGATTGTGAATGAGATGCGAGATTAGATCCAGACATTTTGTTTCTCATTTGGTACTGACTATGGAAGTTAACTTCTTCTAATACAGTGGAGAGCGCATCCTCTAATGAATTTGGGGCCTTGAGACGCACTACTCGAACTAAATGTTCCGGTAAATTGTACAGGAAAACGTTTAATGACGTATTTTCATAAATAGCCTTTTTACTACAACGCATATTTGAGTCCGATAACCGATTAACTTTGCCTATTAAAATTGATCTCAAAGATTGAATTCGACAGCAAAAATCTAAATAACTTTCTCCGGGTTTAATTCTTAAAGTCTCAAGTTCGATATTTAAACACTCCTCACTTCGCGAGTCTCCAAAATGCTGAATTAATAATTGCTTAAACTCATCCCACGTTTCGATATCATCGCGCTCCCCGACTAATGCAGCTGCATTGCCGATAAGGCGACTTGTTATTGTATTCATCACGTACAAATTCTGTTCCGTCGTGCCAGTAAATTTAGCTATAACATATTCACACATTCTTAAAAATAGATTTAAATGACGTTTATCTCCATCAAACGTAGGGATGATTTTAATCATTTCACCGGGAATAAGTCTGATATTCTCCATAATTATGTATTAATTTACACACACAAACAATAAAAATAAAATAAAATGTAAAAGAAATCTAAATATCACACAAAATTATTAAGAAATAAAATGTATATGCTTAATAAGACTATTTCTTTGTAAAAATATAATTTGTATATAATTTGTAAATTATGGAAATAGGTAAAACTTAAATTATTTATTACGTACAATTATTTATTTAATTTTTAAACTATTTAACCAGAATACGTTAAAATGAGAGAAGTTCGATCTCAAGATAACAGAACGTCGAGGTAGTGGAAAGGATGGTGAAAAGTTCTACTCACCAGCCCCCAGCTGCTCTCATGGTTCAGGATCAGCTCCGCTTCCTTGACAAATTTCTTTGGTTCGAGGATCGTCTCGGTTTTTCTTCGCGCCGCGGACCTCCGATTACGACAGAGTTTTATATCGAATTCGCGAAGGACGCAACACTACCGAAGTGTGACGATCCTACCGGCTGCGCCAGTCAAGATTACGGGAACGTAAAATGATTTTTTAAAAACTATTTAAAATCTATTTTATTTCTTAATACAATTATAATTATAACTACTTAATTAATACGTCTTGACAGAAGTCGATGTCAGAACGAAGTGGCCGCTCCCATGAGCTCTGCCTGATGCCTCATGCAACCAAAAGCGCTGACTCTACAGTTACTGGATACTGTCTAATGCTTATGCAGCCCCCTCTAAATACGAACCGTAACAACCCTATGGTCTTGTGGTTGCATAACTCGATTGTAACGTCAAAACACATATCCTGTTGACGTTTATACGTGTGAAATGACGTGTTAGTGATATTTTAGTAGCTACAAGGGTTTCACCCACTCCCCCGCTCTATTATGTATGTATTAAAGTATTCTATGGTATCCACTAACCGTTCAGTTGGACTATGTTCTCGTTTAACGTGCCCTCACTCCCTCTAGATAGAGTGACGACCTAATAAATCACACAACAAGTCAATAGAAGCACTAGACTCGGGACGTGTTGATTTTTAAAAGAAAACTACATTTTAATGAGAAAATTTTTAGAATAATTTAATTTTACAGGTTTTGATCTTTTATCCAATTTATTCCTGTAATTACCAATATTATGAAGATACTGAATGATCCTTGTTAATCTTCCCTATTGAAAAATTCCGGCTGGTTGTGTTTTTTTTATTGTATTTTCTTACACTATCTAAATAAGCCCTAGGTATTACCTATACCTATGACTGATATATTTTAATAAGTATTTATGAATCCCGAATAGACGATAAGACTATACAATAGCAGGCCTCTGTCACTTTTGCTACCTGCGTGAAATTATTAAGCTAATTCTGTGTAATGCATAAAGAAAATAAAACCTTAATTTAAAATAGAACTGGAGATATTATATTTTTTATAAACATAGGGCCAAAAATAACCCAAGTCCGTGATGTGGCTGAATTCAACCACCACAGACATGACAGTTTCCATTTTGATTTCTTCACAGGTTAAATTTGATAATGAAACTTTGCATAGTAACTGAACTAACTATAAAGCAGGGCTTTTGTTTTTGATTTTTTTTTATTACCATTATTTTCAATGTAAAAAGAAAATACCTAAACTATCGGCGTCCTGAAGCTTTTTCCTTGCCATCCGATACCCCAGCTCAGTCTCGCTTTGGATTTAGAATAGGAAAGTAATGTCGCTTACGATCAAAATACACATACACATTACACAACAGGACGACGCAAAATTAAAATGGGAAATAACCGTAATAAAAATAAGAATCAACTGGGTTAGCGTAAAGAAACAGGCATAAATCTGATAAACCTAATGAAATAAGTATTTAACGACCTATCTACTTACTGTGTTTGTGATAACAGACATGTCGGTAGATAGCATACGAGCCGCGGGGAAGTGGGGGCAAAATTATAATTTGATTCGAGGTAATACAGGCTGAGGTAAGAGATGCTCGTAACGATGTGAGCAGATTATTTGCAGAAAAATATGGCTTTAGAAAGATGAAGTCTTTATTTAGTGCCTACAGAGCAACATCATAATTTATAATGACGGGTTTTTAGAGTGAAGGCAATCTCACCATAGAGTTTTATGAAAATATGCGTCAGAGTTATCTTTCAGGTCGAGTACAACTATTATTTTAAGCTAAAATACTTTGCGTTATTGTAACGAAATTGTTCTCTTATAACTAAATAATTTTGTATTAAGTTTCGAAGTGCAACACAAAGCCTAAATCACGAAAATATGTCGATTCAATATTAAACAAAATAATACTATAAAATTTATTGCGTGTATTTGAATATAAACTTATCTATTTTTAATAATTTTATCAAAAAGGATTGTTTTCTTATTTATAACTATGAACTCGTTTTATTTAGTGAATTATTTTATATAATTATTTCAAAAATACTATCAGCTCATGTAGACGCCGCGCCGTCCGTGTCAGAACGCTCCGGGTCCCCCTAGCGATAGGATGTATCACTTTTTCTCGCAAGTGCTCAAGTTGCGTGCATTCACACTAATAGCGTGAACTAGTGTTGCCAATCTGCGCGAGACGTCCCGATTTTCAGGGGTCTGGTGACACGTCCTGATTTACTCTTAATCGGGCCGCCAAATGTTTCGAATTTTCAATAACCTCCTTAGTTTGTACTTCGATCGATCATTTTGACAGCAAAATTGAATACAGATAAGTTTTTTACTGTAGCAATTGCTACATTAAAATATTTATGCTTTGTCAATTTCATACTTTCTCACCAAACTCGGAATAAATAGTCAACATCAAAGTTTTAATTTTTTGCGCGTAATGTGTTGGTGCGAGACACAGATATCAATCATGTTGAATCGTTTTTTTTTCTCTCACTTCCTAATGTTACCCTCCCATCGCACTTTGCATCGATGTTGTTAATTCAACAATCGTTTATTACTTCGTTTTTTTTAATAGTTCAGTACAGTACCTAACTTACATGCTGCTGTAAAGATTAAATAGATTTTTAAATGCAAAAGTCTTGTAGGTAAGTTTTTCACAAGACAATTTCTTTCATCGGTTGTAGGTACTGTTGTATTCTATAAATTAACTGACATTATACGTCCTATACAAAGGTTTTATCCAGGCTATCAAGCTTTGAGTTATTATGGCCATTTTAATATGTATGAAAGTGAGCTTTTTATATTGTATGATGCTGTTTTTAGGATTCCGTAGTTACATAACAAGGAACCCTAATAGTTTCGCTATGTCCGTCCGCCCGACCGTCCATCCGCCCGCGGATTTACTTAGGGATACTAGGTGCTACAAATCTGTATTTTGGCATCGTTATAAATATTATTCACGCCTACAAAACTTTGAAACGAAATCTTAAAAAACATTTTTAATTTGGGTACCTTCCATGCAGGTAAATATGGGAGGAGTTTTTTACCCGTCTATTCCATCCCTGTATCGTGGGATAGGTATTTCAAAAACGTTGGGGTTGTGAAACAATATCCTTTTAATTCAGAGGTCTTTTTGCAAAATATTTTGCGTTAAGGTGGTATGAATTAACCTTGTGACATTTCTTAGTCTATTTCGTAATAAATAAAGCCAAAAATCACTAAAAAATAAAACCACATTCCACATTCCATACTTGTCTACACTACGTCTTAGCACCGACCTCTTAAGATATTATGTGGAAATTATTTTATTCTTTAAGTTCCAATAGTATCAAAACTATTCGCGCAACTAAGGACAACCAGTCTTGCGTTCGAACAGTCACTCAAACAGGAAGAAGATTGTAGTGTGCGGCAATATCACGCCGTGGAGCGATCGCGTATAGTTTGACTTGCGCATGTTTAAATATGCGCTCTTAAAGGTCAAAAGGCTTATCCCGGTTGATTTTCGTTATATTTTTCAATTGAATGTAGGATAAGATATATTTAATAAATAAAGATAAATTCATCCATTTGTTTAGTGTAATTAGGTACGTACTCAATTTTAGGTGGGCATTGGTGGTAGTATTCATTTAAAATATTTTAATTATTAATGAAAATATGGTAACTCATCCGACAGTACCAATAATTGGTGATGCAGCTTGCTTATTTAGTTCAGTCTCTTATCTGTTATATGGAAACCTTACTTTGGCTAGAGACATTAGGGAGCAAATTGTGTATTACGTCGTTGCTGTAATTTTGTTGTATGAAACATAAGCATATAGTTTGCCCAGTTCTTTTCTTGGTTCTGGGTTCGCCCGGTGGTTCGTTTGTGTTGACCTGTCTATTTGTTCGTTATAGAATAGACTAAAATGATGTTTATTCAGTAATCTATATTGAAGATTTTCAATTTTCGACGAAATTAAATAGTACTTATCGACAATCATTTTTTTACTTACCACTGTTTCGAAAAATACCTCTGCCCTGGGAAGAACCAGCAGCATTTTTTAAACATATTTCCAACATTAAATTAGTACAATTTTTAAATGATTTTAATAGAACTAGCATGGTGATGATTACCTTTCCAGATTATTTTCTCAGCATTCTTGTTATTATAATTACCCTTTATGTACAATTTTTTTGTAAGACATTTAAACTTGTTTATTGACAAATGTTGTACATATTCTGGGATTTTCTTGTAAAAACGAATCCATTGCTGTTCGTTAGTTTGTCTCACACGCCGTATAGTGGCGGTGTAAGAATATCCACTACCCCATATCATCCCATGGGTATCGTCAGGCGACAGAGGGGAACAAATTAGGAGATGGGCAGTAGCATCTTCCCAATAACGACTCGGGGAATGCCGCGGTAAAGCTATTGCATAGCATTTTGTTTCAACTTATGCAATTATAATTATTTATTTATTTTATTTATGTAGTATTTCTTTTTCTTTGATATTAATTCAAGTTACACTTTTTGAGCGTGGTGACCGATAAGAAAAAAAATCAATTTTTTTCTTTTATTAAATAAATAAATAATAAATGCACTTTGTTCATTCATATTCAAAACACTTTATACACAAATTCTACAAGTACAGCTATTC